CCTCTCAGAAGAAACACATGAGGCTGGAGGGCCTTCCCATTCATCACTCCTCTGTTTGTGTTCACCACAAAGCTCACCCACCAAGCTGGCTGCACCCAGTAGATCCCCCATCGCCTGTAGCCCCAACATTTCTGAGTGCCTTTTCTCACCCTCATCTGTGCTTTGACACAGAGATGTGGATGAGATTCATAAAGCGATGGTGACTTCCTTAAAAGCATTTCATTCCTTCTTCCTCCCATTTGCTCATCTAGGCTGCCATCCCTTCCAGTGTCTTGTTTCTGCAAGTCTTTTCTATTATTTTCAAGGATTCGTCTCTGAATTTCAGAGGTATCTGCATCCCATGAGGACACCGGAGCCAGTTCCTTTAACACAGCCTTCCCATCCTGCAGGAGCAGCTGCTGGCCCCAGCTGAGCTCACTGCTTACATGGTACACGCTGGGCTGACTCAGCCAAGATAAAGCACAACTTCATCCTCAAGGTTGGATCACACCTGCATCTTTTCTGCTGTTGGGGTATATTCATTCGGGCAGATTGAACACAGGAGCATTAAAATTCTCATCCCTGGTGGCTCTTGCTCATTTCACAGAGGCACAGCCCTGGCTATGGGGCAGCAGAACTCACCGCTGCATCCTCCCCATCAGATCACAGAATGGCCTGGGTTGGAAAGGACCACAATGATCACCTCGTTTCAACCCCAAGATGCTCAGCTCCAGCTGGGAGAGTCAAGGACAGAGGCCCTGGTCTATGGAAAGACCTCCAATGATGCCTTCAACAGGGCTTCAGTCCACAAAAGGACTCTGAGCCCACATGAATTCCAGTGCACACAACATCCTCCAGAGCAGCCACTGCCTCCCCTCTTCCTGTTGCTGAATCCTCTGATACTGAAGACCAGAATGAGGAAGGTTGCACCAACCTTGAAGGAAGATGATTTTGGGCTTGTTTTGTTTTTGTTTTTTTTTTTCCTGTTGCTCTGTCAACAAACAGAAACCTGCTACTGCTTCAGAAGAGAAACTGAACACCATCGTCACAAGGCTGGAGCACTTGCAAGCACTGAAACTACAGGGAAATATTGGTGGTAGGTGGACAGTTGGACTGGACGATCTTGGGACGTCTTTCCAAGCTTGGTGATGATTCTATGGCACCACCACCCACCTCATCCTGTGCTGCCATCACCTGCCAGTCACCAAGGATGCTACCAGTCCAAAGGGTAACACTGTGTTTTAATGTTCTTGAAACAATGAATGTTTTTGAGACAATGGACACTGATGAGGTGCAACAGCAGGCTGTATGTACTACACACATACACACACTGGTTGTCATTAAAGCTGATGTATTTGACATGTTCCAAAAAAAGTGCACCAGTCTTACAACAAATAGGGAACAAAATCCAAGGCCACAAGTATAGAGGTATGTTTTAAAGACTACAGGTCACACAGAAATAAAAAACAGCAGTGGTGAAATATGAACTTTATCCTGAATAGAGATAAGTGGTTAAAACACAACCATTTCACTACCTCAGGAGTAAGATTGTGTTTTACAAAGCCTTAACTTCAAACAACTAAAGCAAGCAGAGAGAAACAAATACATTTCTGTGCACCTCTTTGGTCCCCAAGTTCTCCTTCCAACCTAAAAAGGAGAGAGTTTTACATTGAACTTCAAGCAAGAAAGACTTAAGGCTTTTCATCTGGATGTGTGAAACCAACGCTGAACTTGAGAGAGGCAGGATCTGCTGTCTGTCAATAAGGAGAACTAAAGCCATAGAATTAGTGTATTTTGTAAGTGTGCAGCACAGCTTGTTCATGATAGCAGACAGTTCCATAGCACCTAACTCAACAGGTCTAGCTTGCCAACCAGGAACTACGATTCAGGTTAGCTGAACACCTTGGGATTCATATTCAGCAAAGCCAGGGTGACTATGGGGACCTGCACTGCAGGCATCCCACAGCACAGCTGGCATTGCCTTTGTTTTGTCTCCTGTCCTTAGTTTAAGGAGGGTGGCTTTCAATTGCACATCATGTTTTCCCAATTAAGAGTTACACAACTCCCATTAAAATCCTAACAGAGTATAAGCAGTTCAAGTCAGTTCAGCTGCCTAAAACTTTCTGTACCAACGCTGCCACATACAGAGGTTGCCACATAGACAGAAAACTGCAGTTTAATTCATTTTGACGCCCCTGGAAATGCTTTTCTCAATTGCTCTTATAAAATAAGCTGTAATTTCAGGTTGCTTTGCCCCAGAATGAACTGCCATCAGGCACAAACACAACGTGCTCTGCTCAGGATTTCAGTGCTCACCTTTGGTCCAACATTCATGATGCAAACCTTGGAATGCTTGAAGAGAAATCCTCATTTTGAGATCAAACCAGATCTAGCTTCTCAGTCTGACTGATGGAAATCCAAGGGGGAAAACTTAAAGACAGGGAGAAATACCTCTTTGGATATCTGAGCTCTTTGCAGACAAATTCTGGGTCTTCCTCCCAAAACCCCATTAGGGTTTGCTTAAAAATAGTACGAAACTGACAGTTAAAGCGGTGAGACATCCTGAGGCACAGAGAGAAAGGTGCATAAACCCTTTATATATTGAGATAAAACTGCGTTCCAAATCATTTAGAAGTGAATTCCCTGCATGTTAAGAGGTTAGGAAAAATGTGTTTTAAATTCTCAAGTACGACAGAGTTAATACTAGCAAGAATATAAAACACCACCAGAGGTAACATCTCAAGGAGGTATAACAGACATATCCAGACACTGACAAAGCCACTGCAGGACTTGTAATAACGACCCAGAGACAATTCAGAACCATCCTTCTCACCAGAGGTGCAGTATTGGCAGCATGTAAGCTGTCCTACAAGGATCCACAGCCGTTTGCTTCCAGTGCTGCACCACGTTTACTCCACTAACATTATTACTTCACAAATACCCATTTCATTGCCAAAGCACGCTTTCCCCCTCACAGCAGTGTGCTCTGCATGGTAGGTGTAAAGAACCATTCAACCCCTTCTTCGTAGCCTGTAGTTCTGCAATATCAGCTCAGTTGGTGATCCAGGAGCAGCCAACCTCATCATGACATTTCTCATTTGCCATCACAAGTCTTTTACTGAACAAAGACTATGACAACAACTCACGACCATTTAATTTAAGAGTGCGACGTAGGAACAAGTAAGAACAGACGGCGACACTGGACAGAACAACCTCCAGAGTGCATTTAGAGAATAACAGTTTCAGCTCCTGATGAGTGTCAAGAACTCCTCACGGGTCTTTGGGTCTTCCCGGAATACCCCCAACATTGTGCTGGTTACAGTTTTACTGTTCATTTTCTGTACCCCACGCATTACCATACACATATGCCTAGGAGAAAGGAGAGGAAGTCAGTAAATGAGATGTGCTATGAAGAAATAAGAAGTGCCATGAAGACAAGTGTTTCTTACGGGGTCACATTAAATTCTGCGGAAAAATGAAGCTAAAACAAAACTTCCACATCTAGAAAGGGGGGTCAACTGTTTGAGAAGGTAGATAACAGCAGGACAAGGGGAAATGGTTTGAAGTTGAGGGAGGGCAGATGGAGGTTGGATGTGAGGGGGAAGTTCTTCGCTATGAGAGTGGTGAGGTGCTGGAACAGCTGCCCAGAGAGGCTGTGATGCCCCGTCCATCCCTGGAGGTGTTCAAGGCCAGGTCGGATGGGGCCCTGGGCAGCCTGGGCTGCTGTGAAATGGGGAGGTTGGTGGCCCTGCCTGCAGGGGGGGGTTGGAGTTTCATGATCCTTGAGGTCTCTCTCAACCTGGGCCATTCTATGATTCCACGAATGGCAAACTGTTAGAAGGGCCAATGGATATCAGCTGTCCTCTGGGACAAAGAAAGCCAAGTTCTCAGCTTCTGAGTGCTGTCTTCTCTCTGCAGATCCTAGGAAAATCCCACCTTACCAATGTGATCATCACAAGGACAAGCTTGTTGCTAGACTCAAGCTCTGCTGTACTTGGGGATCCTGTGCAAATGGGACAGCTGACCCAGTTGTCATATTTCTGCAATGGTTAAGGCAAGCCCACACTTCAAACAGCTCCAACCCCTTGCACTGAATGGGCCAAGATCACATCTGTCTACCTCCTCTCTGCTTCAGGTAAGTGTCACACAGCTTAGAAGAGCTGAGGCAACACACAGCAGCCCTGCAGCACACAGCTGTTATCACACCCAGCCCATACACTGCTGCAGAGCAGCTCGGGGTAACTCACGTAGCTTCAATCACCACTCCAACTCCAGCAGGCTGTAAGGCTTCTGTGATGGCTATTGCAATTTGTTTGGTAAGGCGTTCCTGGACTGAAAGGACAACCGGGAGTTCAGAACCACTCTTAAAACTGACAAGCTTAAATGCATCATCATTCCCTGCAAGCATCCTCACTTCCAAGCGTGTCTGTCCCTTCTGCTCAAGCAGGTTGTGGATGCCCCATCCCTGCAGGCATTCAAGGCCAGGCTGGATGTGGCTCTGGGCAGCCTGGGCTGCTGGTTGGTGACCTGCACACAGCAGGGGGTTGGAACTGGATGAGCACTGTGCTCCTGTGCAACCCATTCTAGGATTTTCTTTGCAAGGCCATTCTAGGATTCTGCTCCCTGCTCCCAGCCCGAGCTCTGTTCTCTCCAAATGAATTTTATTAATACCAAACCTTAGCTTATATTTTGTGCCTTGGAACAAATCTTTTATTTGCTTGTTTATACTGGAAGTCATTTTCCATTATGTGTTTGCAGGAGTTTGTATTACTGTGACTTGCAGTTATGGGAATTATACAGTTAGATTTTCTTGCCTTCCTCTGTTCTTTTATTTACTTTTTCACATATTTACTCACTGGCTTTACTGCTACACTCTCCACTGCCTACACTCACAATTTCCCTTTCTTTTAAGAAAAGGATATAGAGCTTTAAAAAAAAAAATTAAAGAGCAAATTAAGGGAGGCTATTGCCCTCCAAAGCTTTACTTCCTGCAGCTATTCACCAGTTTGACATTAACGGCCACTAAGACTTCTGTTGCCACAACTTGGCCAAATTCAACCACAGGACAGTGAGAGCTGGCTGAGCCTGATCCAAAGCCTTGGATCAGCTCTGTAGTTTCCTCTAGCTGTAGCTCCTGTAGCTTCTCCAGAGCAGCAAACTTCCCTAATACAGCAGCTCTCAGTCCATCTCTTCTGACAACACTCCTTGAAGGCATGCTCAATCATCTGGAGGAGAGCACACCTCCAGCAGCATCCAGCAACTCCAGTTATTCCTTGCAGCTGTATCTTACATTTATCCCAAGAATCAGTTCCTGCCTACATTCATTTTCATAGGCACATTTTACCCCTCAGGGGAAATGCAGAGGCTAAGTAAGGAGACAGATGAGAAACACCTCTTCAAGAACGCACTGCTTTTCTTCACTGTCTAAAATCTGAACAGCTGTAGCCCACCTCTAATTACTGCTACACCAAGTTAGCCAGCAAAGGGCTGCACAAGCAATAAAAAGAAGATCCAGTTGTTTACCTTGTAGTCTTCTACTGTATATCTCCACAATCCTAGAAGAGAAAGAGAAAAAGGCAATTTGTTTTAGTTATTCCTTTCTGAATATTGTCTGATCTTTCCACTACCAACAGATCACTGCATTGATCAAAGTTCTTCCTGGAAATCCATCCAGCAATGCTTCTGCTCAGCCCCTGGTTGGCATGGCTCAATGAATTCCCTTACCATTGCTGGTTCTAGTGGCAGGTACCCCTTGTCTGCTACCCCACCATTTTAGGGGCAGACCTATCACTTCTCCTTGGAGCTTCTTTGCTTTGGTCGTTACTTTTGAAGTATTTGTTCTACCACCCACCTGGACCACATGCTTGCAAGGAAATCCACAGCCAAAGACTCCCTGAAAGCTAATCCTTGAGTTAACAGACTGCCCACCAAATGCTGTTTTAAGGATGTTTGGATACTGGGATTCCCAGAAGGCTACTGGCCTTAAGCAAGAGATATTCTAGATTCCTACATTTAACCCCAGATTTAACTGAGAGCTGTGGGAAAATAATTGCTTTTATTAGATGTGGAGGTTGGTGGCACTGCCTGCAGCAGGGGGGTTGGAGCCTGGTGATCCTTGAGGTCCCTTCCGACCCAAGCCATTCTGTGATTCTATGATAAAGCAGATGCTCTCTACCCATCCTTCACATTTCAGTGCAGGGCTCACCTTGGTGCTCATCTCTAACAGGGTTTCAAATGCAAGCCATCTGCAAAGCGATTTGAGTGATGGTTTGATCATCTATCAACACAGTGGTGAAATCCACGTATTTCAAGAAAAAAAGTCCATGGCTGCTGTGTGACTCAGCGAGTTATTCATGCAGTCCTTATGCCTGCAGACCAAATGCTTAATTACACGTCAAGTGGCCATGTTAAAAGTTGCTGCAGAAAAATTCAATACCCATCTGGTCAGAGCAGACAAAAGCCAGACCCTGGCTGGCAGCCTGAGGCATCACTTACAAGAAACATTTCTGACAATGAGACTGGCCTGCTGCTTTGGAGAGAGAATTATATGCAGAAAGTCCCCTCCAGAAATGAAATGGCCGTGTTACAGCTATTCTGAACAAAGCAACATAATATTTAGACATTTAAAAACACAATTGATGCTTGGGGTTTGTTCTGTGTGTGTCCTGTAAGCATGTCTGCGTGAAAACAGAGGTAGTGTTATCAAACCTGAGCTTAAAATCCAAGGAAAAGTGTTTGTGTGCTGAATGCAGGTCATCCCAATGGCAGGAACACACCACATTAGACTAATCCTATTATGAAAGATTAGGTCTCCAGTACCAACAGCCTCACAAATCTTTGTGTGAACACTGGTTGCATTATATAGGGCGAGAAAGGGAAGCACTATTTGGCCTACAGATCTCCTCATGGCGAGCACAGAAAAGCAAGCAAGGATAGAGAAGATTTGGTTATACAAGAATCTAATCTTTTCATTATTGAAGGATATGGAAGTTTTACCCTCACTTGAGAAGAGAAAAAAAGAGCAATATTTAACATTCAGAGAACAGTGCAGGAAGACATGCACACACCCAAACATATTTCATACTGAGAATAAACAGTGGGAAAACTGGACTCTTCTAGCACAATGTTGCCACTTGCATTAAGGACCATTTGAGACAGTTCTAAACCAGCAAATCCAGAGGCAATGGCAGATCCTACAATATCAGGAGGCAGCTAAGTGCAGGCATAACCAATGTCTGCCACGAGAATTTAAGTGTTTAACTGTGTCAGCCTTCTGATCAGAGCAAATTCCACTCCTGCAAGCGCTGCTAGAAGATGTGAAGCTGGTTGCCCTGTAACACAAGGTTCAAAACGTGACCTCCCAGGGCCCTTCTGCTTCCAGCCCAAACTCACTGCTGTGCAAGCAGAGCACAGAGCAGAGATGGCTGATTTTAAAGCACTTCAGCGTCACACACCACACATCTCTTACCCACTAAGAAAACTCACAGGCATGCAGAATTACTAGGCTAATTCTCCTTGGTGTGATTGGAACTACAGAAAGATTAACAGATGCATCAGGAAAGTATAAGTGTGTCCTATGTGGTTTTTCTGGACTACAGACCAGTGTTTTCAAGCTGCAAGACATCCTTCCACTCAGGTGCCCAATCATCTGCCCAGGTGAGGGATCTACCAACCCCCATTAAATTGTCACCTTATAACACAACTCAGCAACAGCCCTGACCCAAGGGCACTTGCCAGGGAAAACAACGTTTTACATAACAAGTGGATTTCTCAAGTGTATCTTAAATACTTTGTTTCTAAAGCAGAGCCTTAGCAAAAAAGTCTACCCCACGACTCTCAGCAGGCCATGAGAGAAAGAAAGAAATGCCAGATTTATCTGATGAAAGCTTTGCATTCAGATCCAGACGGTGTGTTGGTCTGCAGTTTGAGATCCCTGCTCTTATCAGTCCAAACACAAGCAGATCTCCAGCTGCTGGAGATCCCCATTCTGCCTGCTGATCTGCCTTAGGACACAGCCAAGACTTTCCACTTGTACTTGCTTCTGTGTTCTCTTTCAACACCAATGTTCTGGACAGATGGACGTGCAGAAGTGTTATGGCTCTATTCCAATCAACTGTGATATTAATTAACACAGAGCTCTAAGACTCATCTGTCCTCTCCACACACACACACACACAAATGTGTAATGCTGAGGATTGGTTTAAATCCAAATCCAGGACACAAAGTGTGCTGAGCTTCAGAGGGGGACAAGATTAGCAAGATTAACACAGTTAGCACAGCTTGGAATCCTTTTTACAAATTAACATCACTTTCATTACATTAGCACTTACCTAGCAAGCTTGCTGAGGCCAAGTACTTGTTTGTTAGGAAGATAGCCAATATGTACCTAGACAGAGGAGAACAAGCCATTAGCAGAATGAAAACCAAACTTCCAAACGTGTATGAAACCCATGCATAGAGAGTGAGATGTGCATATGTCCCAGTAGTGTGAACAGCCCAGAAATCTTAGCATGTGGGAGGAACAAGCCTGAAAAATTAACTGTGGAGCTATCAAAGGCTGTAATGCCTCGTGAGGTCAGTGTCCTGGTGCAGGATAAGTTGAACATTCTGAGGATGGAGAGGAAAATCAGTTCTCTGAAAGTCAAGGCTTATGTTCCAAGTCTCAGGAATGCCACAAAGTACTGCTGTCTTTAGGCACAAAAAGCATTACTTGTTACTACCCAGCACAGCCCTGTCCATCTGACATAGCCATGCTTTTCTTTCAAGTCCTACAGTGGATAAAGGGAGAGAGAAGGACTGCAACTCCAGTAAAGGATCTGATGGCAAGAAGTACTTTGCCACCAAAACCAGGCTGCACTTACTGTTGTTTCTCTACTATTATTGCTTTAATGCCAAGTCACGTGCTACCAGTAGCACCACAGATCACTGTATGAATCAGCCAGCTTCTGTCCTGCCTGACCACAGACTGACTGAACACTCATCAGGAACATGTAACTGCACTAGGCTGAAATGAGTTATGGAGTAGAAAAGTGCTCAGATCTGAAGGGAGAAGGAAAGGCATTCAGCTTCCTGCTATACAGAAGGCTGCTGAAATCAAGTGGGCTCACACTAGTGACAGATTACAAACCAGCACTTATGTCACTGTATCAGAGACTTGAAAAATTAGCCACGATAAGGTAGGGGAGCATCAGTGTAGGATTCTGCCTTCGTGCTTTGCCTGCAGACCCCACCTCAGAGCCCTGTTTTGCTGTACCTGCAGGTAGAGGCACCACAGCACACCTAATTACCTGGCTAACTCGCTCATTCCTATCACTTCTGTTGGGTAATCAACCCACTGACACCTGAAAAGACACGAAACATTTCAGATAAAGCAAGAGACATAACTCAGAAATAAGTGCTGAATCTTGTTCCCCACAGAGTAATTTGTGTGTGTGTGTGTGTGTGTGAATTTCTGGATTTTATTCAACATAGAGCTGCAAATACATGATCTGCTGATGGGGATTTGCAGCCTGTTTGATGTACCCAGCAGAATGGTTAGGCTGAGAACATTTAGAGGTGTACTCAGGCATTCAGCAGACCACTGTATGAGCAGGACCAACTCGGTGCTTGTGAGATTTCTCCAAAGCACACAGGTTAAACTGCTAGATGTAAAAGGAACGCATGGATTGCCACAGAAGTAATGAAGTGAACACACACAGACCGAGTAACCAAGAATAACAGGTGAAATAGAAAGCTTTCACAGGAACAGAAGTTATTTTGTTCTCTGGTAGAAAATGCTAACAGTAAGAAAAGAAAGCGGAGGAAAATGAGTTGACTCAATAAACAGTTGGTTTCTGTTGGGGTGTTTCATTTTTGGGGCACAGTTTACTCGGAACATTTTGTGGTACTGATCAAATTTGACAGATTACAAGAGCACCTGCTCCTCTGTCCTGGGAGCACTCAATGGAGAGCAGACGGATCAGAATAAGGCCCATCCTTCTGTGCTCTTACAAGAGTGAGGAGGCTGAGAACTACCAACACCGAACTATTCAAGCTGACAGCCGTTGAGTTGTTTTGGTTGGTGGTGGGGATCAGGGGGGAGCGTTCAGCTGTTGGTAGCACCATTTGAAACACCAGCTCTGTACCTGGGAGTCCCAAGCCACGCAGCCTCCTGCTAGCCCATTTAACAGAGGGCTGCTAATCAGAAGTTTGCTCCATTCACAGAGGCACAGGATAGCTCTGAGCCAGCAACTAAATCCGTGACGGAGGCAGCGTGCAGGGTGAGCTGGTTTAATATCAAGATGTCTGCCCTCGAGGCTTGCTGCTGCTTCACAAAGAAGAGCTTTAATGTGAAATGTCAGAAACCATTAGATTAGTTAGACTAGGAAAGGTTGAGCATAGAGCTTTAAATCCAAATAAAACTCACATTAAGGAGGTCTTTCTTATTTGTATTCTCTGGAGATTGACTTTTAGAATCATAGCCGTAAGCAGTAAATACTTACAGCTTTAAAAGCTTTGCAGTTATAGCTACAAAGTCTTATACATGTGTCTTTTATCACGTATTCCCACGTTTGTTTGACGAGGAAGAGTTACCTTTCCAACAAATGGAACGAGGTGATGCTCACACAATGAGAACATGTCTATGTCCTTCACAATTACCATCTCATCGTGGTCTTCGTCAAAGATGGCATCGTTCAGAACATCTGAAATTAAACATTTGCATTAAGAAAAATACATGCACGAGCATGGAAGGTTCTTCCAGCCAATATCTCAGCAGATTTGTGGCTCACAAGTATGGATTTTAGGGCTGAGTTATGGGAAGCAAGGAGTAGCATCACCAGCACACTTTGGTTTGGATACAATCACAACCACATGTACACTACGTCAAAAGTCAGTCTGTAGTGTTCTATTTGAATAATAGTTTGTGCCCAGGTTAGAACAAATCCAGCCTTTGTGGAACTTCTAGCATCTAATATCAATTAAAACTACAGCTCATCAAGCCAGCAATGAGGAGCAGAGCACACGTCTAGATGGGCTTTCATTGTGCCTGCACATACCATGAGCAAAGCTGAGCCTTAGTTTTGAGAAAAGCTAAGCCATCACAGTGGTTTCTGCAGCCCCAACACCAGCATTGCTATCCTCCAGGATGCTCCATGCCCAAAAGATAGCTTTGCATCTCACCCTGAAGCACACCAGCCAGCAGCTGATCAGGCACATGCAGCAGTCAGAAAGATCTGTGGCCAAAGACCAGGGGGATATTTGCTGTTCTGCACTGAGAGCTAGCACGCATTGTATACTGCTTCTGAATTCTGCATCTCAGATTTAATGGAGAATTAATATGGAGAAACCCACGAAGAGGAAGAGTTGGTGCAGTAAGGAAAGGAACATGTAGCATGAGACTTTGCTAGTCCCAGAGCTCAGCACAACAGATCCTCAGTTGGTTTTCCAAGATTTAGCAACCCCCTCATATTAAAGTCCCCCAGGATCCTTCAGTTCAGGTTACAGCAGATCACTGTGGTCTCCACAAAGAAAGGCCACAGTGAGCAAGACCGTGTTTGGAGAGTTTCAAAGTAGAACAGCCCAAGGTAAGGGAGCCTTTTAGGAGACAAGAGAAAACAGAGGGAAAAACAGAGTGAGGGAAGGGACAGAAGGGCTGACAATCAGCACAAGGAGCTCTGCAAAGAAGTTAGCTTGAAGCCACACACACTTGGAGTCATTTCCAACAAGCAGAGTAAGACCCACCATGGCAGTAAGGGAACAAGGAGCCACTCTGTTTGGCTTTGTGCCTTTGTGCCTTCCCCTGACATGCACGCACACCTAATGGCCACCATCTGTTGTCGATACGTATCATCATCACGGAGCATTTTAATTTCCTGCTTGCTATCAGCACTACACAGGTAACCCTGGAAACTGTGTGCAAGATGTTCTGCCTGCTATGCACGTCCTTCCCAAGAAGGGCTGGCGACCTGCAGAACGGCAGGGCTGAAGCCCAGAAGGTTTCTGAGCAGGGACAGAGGGCATGAAAGAGGCCAGGAAAAAATCCCATAAAGGCACATGATTTCGTGCATCAAATTTTACAGCCCAGTTTACACCAGACGCTGTTGGGAAGGTTTTTGATTACATGGGAAGCATCACGCTGTTGTATTATGAATGCAGCCAGAAGGAGACAGAATTTGGAAGAGAGCAGGCTTGGAGGACAACAAAGAGAAGCCAGAGCAGTAATGCAGGTTCTCAGCACTCACCCCGCGCTCCACAGATGTGCCATTTCCACAGCAGAAAGGCAAACAGTGGTTTCACAAAACCTGCTGCTATGCCCAGCACTGATAAAACAAAAGCCAAACAGATCCCAGAAGCATCTCCAGAGCAACTGATGCTGTTATTAGACCACCAGCTTGGCTCACACCAGCACTGCTAGCAGCACATCGGGGCCTGATGTTAGATATGGATTTACGTCAGCACAGTTGTGGAGCAGAATGTTCAGGACAATCAGAAATGTTCACATCCTCATTAAGAGCCACCGTAATGTGTGACAGCATTGTGTCACACAGCAGAAGGTAATTTGACACGGAAAAGTCTCATATTAATATACAAACACATATAAACGTATGCATATACAAACTCATTGATGAAATATATTTAAGCGGATCCTTAGAGACTTCATCCAAGGGGCCAAGATCAGTTACCAGAATCACAGAATGGCTTGGGTTGAGAGAGACCTCAAGGATCACGAAGCTCCAACCCCCCACCAACGCAGGGCCACCAACCTCCACATTTCACAGCAGCCCAGGCTGCCCAGGGCCCCATCCAACCTGGCCTTGAACACCTCCAGGGATGGACGGGGCATCACAGCCTCTCTGGGCAGCTGTTCCAGCACCTCACCACTCTCATAGCACACAACTTCTCCCTGAAATCCAACCTCAATCTGCCCTCCTTCAGCTTCAAACCATCTCCCCTTGACCTGCCATTATCTACCCTTATAAAGAGTTGAAGAAGGAGGAATTGTGTTGTGTTATGGAGGCAGCTGTTACCATAGTGCAGGGCAGGGAAAAAGAAGGCCAACAGACCCATCAAGTGTCACACAGGCAACCTCAAGAAAAGAAATACATCCCTCCCCATGGCCAAAGCAATTAAATAGGTACACAAAGGTCATCCCTCCTTTTTGCATATCCTCTGTCAGGTTATGGCAGCTTGGGCAGCGAAGGAAGTTTAGAAGCAAATAAGCACGTAGATCTTTGTGCCAAGAACATAACCACAGAGCTGCAGAGTATTTCAAACTTCTCATTTATACAGATCTTGTCAATTTTGCACAAGATCTTCTGAATATTACTAGCAAGCTGCAGCCAGGCAACAGCTGAGAGCTGCTCAGCTGCAAAACTTCTCCAGTTGTGCCCACAGCAAGCTGTGTCAATTAGAACAACCAGCACCTTGAGGAGGAGGGCCAGAACCCACAGAGGAAGAAAGAAGCTTCATGTTAACCCCTCTGCTACCCCTTCACCACTGCCAGGCGATACCAGGCAGACAGAGGCAAAACAAGAGGTGAGACAGAAGGCCAGCACCTGACTGTGCTGTAAGAGCAGAGCTCCAGTCCTGCTTGAGTCCTTCCTGCTCACTTTACAAGCTGCCTCTCCTGAAAAATGAGCACCGTTCAAAGTCTGTGTCTGTCTCAGCACCTCCCATACACACTTATACTTCCGAATCCAAGCCCTGAGTGGCATCAGATGAGTCAGGTAAAGGTAGCTGAGCCAAGATGCTGGACTGTATCCTGCTGCGCCTTAATTCAACAAGGAAAAACTCCCTCCAAGTGCCATCCGTGTAATCCTCCATATCAAGAAAAGGACAAGATTTGCACATCCTCTGCTTACAAGGAGGCTGGCACATCCATCTCTTGGCCCCTTGGGATGATACTTCCCTCAATTCACCCTGCTTTTATTAGTCACAGCTGTGCTTGAGAGCTGCTACCAAACGCTGTCAACGCACCAAAGGAGCCTGCAAGCATCACTACTTTCATCCTCTGCCACCCAAGAAAGGCTGAGTGAACTTGTTGCTTAAGCCCAGGTGCATCACGTTAAGGGAATGCAAAGGTTTGGATAAAAATACACGGCTGTCAGGAAGTGAACAAGAGCAAGCACAGAGTTATGGACAGTTATTCCAGTCGGTACATCCGCCAGCCCAGATCCCATGTTCTGATACAGAAACTTCATTGGGCTGTTAAAGACTAAGCAGTCATTCCTGCTGCAACTCCTGAAACAGATCAGAATTAATTTCCCCCTTTATCTTCCTCAAGAGTTGATTTAAAAAAAAGAAAAATCATAACCGGATAAAGACAGAATGAGAAAGACCTTTCAGGACTTTGCGTCAGAGCTCAGCAAAAAGACCTGTTGCTATAGAAACTATTTGCATAGCTTTAATGTGACACAGGAAAGCAAATGCACCTCTGGCAACCAAAGAGGATGGAGCCCACCCAGCAGCTGGCTCCGTAGGTGAGGGGAATGGAGGATGACAGCCCTCTGTAGAGCAGCACTGCAGCATTTCAGATGCCTGGCCTTGGCTAGATCTTTCAGATAAGAGCCTGAGATGGTTGTAGGATGCTCTCATTAGGAGCTGGGTTGCTTCACTCCAAGGAGGAAGCCAAGCTGAGGATTGCTCACTGTAAGAGGGATGGAGGCGGTCTCAGATTTAGCAACCCAGCTCCTTGAGCTCAGCCATCCTGGTAGCCATAAGCACAAAGTTCTGCAAGGCTCCAGACTGCTCTCACTCACATGGTAGGTGTGGAGGATGCTCCAAAGAGCCCAGAGACCACAGACAAACTGTTTATTGAGATGGAACCAGCTGAGGCACAACAGCAGATACATTCGGCTGGCTTTATTGGGCACTTCCTCTCAATCTAAGAGATGGAATTGACAGAGCAGAAGACCTGAGCTAATAGATGAAGGCATGGTAGGCAAGCCAAGAAGAAAATTGCTATAAAATCTTTCAGTTGTTGCTAAGTGGTGAGATTGAGAGTCAAAACTGACTGTTCGTATTCATGCATCCATACTACACAAGAATTGAAGCTAGAAAAAACATTCCAGCCAAGAAACACAAGAGAATTATTGCAGCTTTTCAGCCCTGAAAGGTACCAGGAATTTATTATGCATAAAAAGAGGAAAATTAGGCTAGAAAACTCATTCATATAAAGAGAGTTTGTACTCCTGCAGAAAGTTAATGACTTCAGGTTGCTAAGGCAGAGGGTGGACTGGGTATGCCAATTCCCAACAGAATCACCATCTGCTTTCAGAAGTCTTGAACAGCTCTACGAAGAGACTCAACCTAAGCTGTAATGAGGCTATTTTAGCTGGCAATAAGAGTTCCAAACCTGCAGAGAATAATTAAATAGGCATTAGCATCACGTGGCTTCCTTGCCACCGTATACCTTCCCAACAGGAAGGAAGCAAAGCATCAGAAAAAAGGATTTACAAGTTTATGACTAACATTTCCGACTCCATCACTGTCACACCAGAGGACTGGAAACAGTCATTCTGCTTCAGAAAGGAACATTCTTTTCAGAAGCAAAACTTAATTCTCCAGCTGCCAGAAATGATACATCTGGTCCAGCTCTTTTACAACTCACACTGAAGAATTAAATAAGGAGGAAAAGCACCAGGGCTGCTCCGCTAATTCTAGCCATCAACTTTATGGATTCATTCACCCTCTTACAAAGACACTCCACATTGCAGAGAGAGACTGAAGTCTATTCATATGAGTCATGGCAGACTCTCAGATGAAGGCAAGCTGAGGTCTGGAAGTTGTTTTTTGCCAATATATTTCTTAAAAAGAGGGAAATCAGGGCCGTGTAGACGCTCATTAATATGTATCTGGATTTGAACACCTCATTTCACAGAAGGTGCTGGAAGTTCCCATCCACACTTCTTTCTGAAAATGAAACAAACGGAGATGACAGACAACGTAACAACGCTTTGAAAAAGCAACGTGAAGAGATCAGAAGACCTTAATAGCCTAAGATCCAAGAGATTAAGATAGTTAATAAACTCTGGGGGAAAAATCTAAGTGTATGAAATTTGGTGTTGCTTAACTACTGATGGTCAGGGAGGTCATCCTGAGAAGGCCCAGTGCTAGAGCACAGGATTCTCACTGCCTTCAGCACCAGGGCTGAGAAGCACCCCAACATCTTACCCTGGACAATCCCTCCTCCCCAGCCTTCAGTTCAAGAAACAAACCACAGCCACACTGCTGATATTTAAGTTCATACATAAGGCTGTTATACCAGTGAAAAGTAAGAGAACCAGCAGTGCTTTGCCTCCAGCAACAAATCACTGAAGCAACTCCTCAGCTCTCAGCAGTGCTTTCGGTCAGCCTTGTTTGTTTAAGGCACTGCCTATTTCTATGCAGACACACACAGCTCAGCAGGTGTTAATATACTGGTATTAGACCTCACCTGACCCATCTAGTGGTGCTCAAGGATGGAGTGATGGCACCAACGGACAAAGGAAAGACAACTGATGTCTTCTGCAAGGCGTTTGATACAGTCCCACATCATTACCTTGTCTCTAAGTTGGAGAGATACAGATTGGAAGGGTGGGCTATATGGTGAGTAAAGAGTTGCTTGGATCATTGCAATGATCTACGTTCAGATAGAGGCTGATCGTGAGTGGTGCACCCCACACACAACACCTTTACCAATGACACAGATGATGGGACTGAAGACACCCTCAGCAAGTTGATTGATGACACCAAGCTGAGTGGTGCAGATGATACAAAAGAAGAAAAGGACACCATCCAGAGGGACTGAGACAGGCTTGAAAAGAGTGCCCAGATGAATCTAATGAGGTTCAACAAGGCCCAACTGAGCTAATGGGGGACACCCAGCCCATGGCAGGGGTGGGACTGGAGCAGCTTTTGCATCTCCAGCAACCCAAACCATCTTCTGACTCTATGATTTTAACAGGGTTCAACACACCAGAAGGACAGCTGAACCTCCTAACTTGATTGAAAGCTGCACACCAACTGGAGAGGTCTTCCAGCTTTTATTTATATGACAACCATCATTACCAGCAACTATTTAGCAAACACGCCTCAGCTTGAAGTGCTTACAACAAAGACAAGTTAACTTCCCCTACAGATGTAGGGAGCCTGTTCAGCTTTGTCTGATGTTTCCTGCAGGACCGTAAAGGAGCAGAATCTGCTGTCCCGTGTTTTGTTTTGAGGCATCTCCAACGTGTGCTGTTTCTGGAACTCACAAAATTGTAACTGAAGACTTCAGTTACAAGTTGGTCTGCAGTTTTGATTTCCACATATTCACCCATTTACTGTGTATCATAGAATGGCTTGGGTTGGAAAGGACCTGAAGGATCACAAAGCTCCAACCTCCCTGTCGCATGCAGGTCCACCAACCTCCACATTTAATACTAGGCCAGGATGCCCTATGCACACATTTATGCTGTGCAGCATTCATAGTCCAGTGAACAGCACTTCCAAGCATAACATCAAGCACTTACTGAAGGAGGGACAGATCTCCCCAAATTCTGCCTTCGAGTGTTTGATAGACAATTGCCTGAACGACTACAAGGATGCTGAAGGCTGCCAGCCAGCAATTAACAGCTCAGATTACTTTGATTAATCAAAAGAACACATTTCTGTTTTGTTGTCATCTGCTTCCAGAATGAACAAGCCAATAAATCTGACCCTGGCACAGGGAAAGAAAATCCATTCTTGTGGGGTCATGCAGAAGCACTGAGTGAAATGAAGAAATAAAACTTCTGGTTTCTTGCAATTGGCTACTAATATACACAAACTCAAGAGTAAACTGCTAGCATCTTTAGATCTGCTCCCCAGATGGATTTTACCTGAAACCCCCAGGGGTATCCATGCTCCTCCAATAAAAATTTGATGGTCTCCACCATAAAATGAGATAAATGCATTAATTTGAACATCTTTTGTCAAGGTGAGAGCTTGGACCTTTAGGAGCCCAACCAGGATTAATGCACATAGCAGGGGTTGAAAGTAGATGATCATTATGGCCCTTTTCAACCCAACCCAGGCCATTCTATGATTCTGTGAAAGGGAGAACACATCCAGAAAGAAGGCTGAAAGCAGATATTCAGCAAATCAACTCTACTGATGGCTCTGAAATGCAATATTGACAGCTGCAGAAAACAGATAAGGATGAATAAATGTAAAGCAGGAACACTGTTACTCTGCACTGTCAAGCTAGGAAACACACCTGCAGCAGAAGCTACGTCAGGTTCTCTGCTACTCACAGAAACCTGAATGGAGAGAAAGGGCAGAATTCAGATGTAATCCTCCCTGCAACACAGGATTTATTTATGAAGGATAAAGAAGTTTAACAGCTTCCAGCACCCCGTCTGCACTCAGAAACACTCAGTGGCAAATCAAAGCGAGGCACCATTCATTAACAAACAGCAGGCAGCTGAGCTGTGACCAACCACATAACTCTGTTCTTGCTTACTGTAGGAGAAGCTCGAGTCAGAAACACCAAACACTGCAGATCTCCTCTGGCGTACTTTTCACTGCACCCTGTCCATCCTCCCCTAGATTTCACAGCTTGGAAATACATTTATTACATCATTTTGTATTCCTGTACCGTATGGAAAAGTAAAATTAAAGTTGTTTTCCCCCCCACCTCCCTACCCAAGGTGGTTACCCAAGCAGAAGGCTGACTTCAAGACCTGTAGCTGTACTGCATTCCCTGCTTCAGCCTGTCTGGTTTTCAGCTCTGTGTTTCACAATGCATTTAGGACCTCCCATGCAGAACTGAACTCCACACCAATTCACAACTCCAACCACCAGATATTTTGCTGGCTTGTAACAAACTGTTCTTCAGCTACAGTTC